AGCGCCCGCGACCCGCCCCCTCCGGCGCCACTCCAGCCAACGAGGGCTCGCTAATCTGCATATAGCTCCCGCGTCCCGCCCTCGCCGGCGAGCTTCCAGCCAACCAGAGCCTGCTTATCTGCATATGGCGGCGCGTCCCGCCCCCGCCCCGCCCCACTCTCGCGGTCAGAATGGTCTCTACGCCGCCACGACGTGGCGGGAAGGAAAAGGCGCCAAAATGGAGGGGGAGGGGCGCGGGGCGTGAGGGGAGGCGGGAGCTGGGTGTCGGGCGGCGAGGGAGGAAGGATGGGGAGGGGCGTCTCGATTCAAACCCAAACAATAACAAAGCCATCAAAGGCCGCCCGAGGCCGGCTCGGCGGCCCCGGCTCTCGCGGGGGTTTCGGGGTCAAGGGCTGGGAGGCCGGAGCCTGCGGAACGAGTTGCGGGGAGATGACGGGCGTCGGGGTGCGGGGCCCGGGTGTGAGGAGGCGGGTGGGGGGCGCCGACGAGGGTGGTCTTTCTGGGTGACTCAGACCACCTCCAAGTCGGCTTGCTGACGGCGGCGGGCCGAGGCTGGGACCCGGGGATTCGGGGTTCGGGGGGGCGGTGCGTGGGGGGGCGCGCGGAGCTGAGCAAGGCGTGAGTCACGGCGGATTCCCGGAGCGGGTGGTGGAGTCACGGGCTCGGGATCCACCAGGGAGCGGGGGGGGGGAGGAGGGCGGGGCGGGGACGTGGGGAGCAGATGGGGCTGTCACATTTGGGGACCACGTCTTCCTCCCACCCCCTTCCCACCGCCCCGTCCCCGGGATCCGCATCTTGTCGAAATAGGAAAATGTTAGATCGTCCTAAGAAATGCCGGTGGCGGGGGAAGCGGAAGACACGAAAATGTCACCCGCATTGTGGGGCCGGGTCCGCCCCAGCCCCGGGAGGGGGGGGGGGAGGGCGGCGACTGCGGGAGGAGCCGGTGGCCAGCCAGGCCGGGAGGGGCGCTGGCACGTGGGAGCCAGCTTCCCTCTGCCTGGGGACCCCCCCTGCCCCGGTCAGGCCGTCCCCACCCGCCGCTGACCCCCAGGAGTCCCCCACACACACACCCCGCACCCCCGTGGGCCTGATGGGCGAGCTGACCCGCGCTACTCTCTTTGTCCTTTTCAACTTCACAGAGTTGAGGACGACGCGGGGGGAAATGAGCACATTCACATTCTGGCCAATCCATAAATTGAATTGTCAGCGGCCTCAGTCACTGAAAGCTAACTGCAGTCCATTTTTCTTTTTCTTTTTTTTTCAACTTCCTGCCATTGAAAAGGGGGGGGGAGGACGAAGGAGCCCTGAGCGCTGCACTCATGAATGAATTGAAATGTTTCTAAGTTCTCCCCAGTGCTGGTTTTAGAACGATGCCTAGATGCTCCCTTCATTTTTATGGATTTATCTTATAAAATATTACATCTTTTGTTTGTGTTCTGTGGCTTAACTCATTCATTTTTGATGAGAAGAGAGAAAACCCCAGGGGAGTAAGAATTATTCTTTTTTTTTTTTCAGTTAGGAAAGTAAGAGGGTCATACAAAAGTCAACACAACAGCCAGGACTGGGAGGGAGGGGACATAAATGACCCAAATTCAAATCTTGACTATTCAGAGCTTTCCCTATATCAGGCCTCTAAAACCCCTTTATAGCTCCAGGCAGCAGGTGGATCTCACCTGTAATCCTAGCTACTCCGGAGGCTGAGATCTGAGCATCATGGTTCAAGCCTGGCCAGGGCAGGAAAGTCCATGAGACTTTTTGTTGGTGGTGGTGGTGGTTTTGTTTTGTTTTGTTTTCCAGTCCTGGGACTCAGGGCCTGAGCACTGTCCCTGAGTGGTAGCTCAAAGCTAGCACTCTACCACTTGAGCCACAGCACCACTTCTGGCCTTTTCTGTTTATGTGGTACTGAGGAATCAAACCCAGGGCTTCATGCATGCTAGGCAAGCACTCTACCACTAAGCCACATTCCCGGCCCCTCTATGAGATTTTCTTCTCCAGTTAACTACCAAAAAGCTGGAAGTGGAGCTAAGGCACCAAAGTGGTAGAGCGCTAGCCTTCAGAACAAATCCTCAGGGAAGATGCCTAAATCCCTGAATTCAAGCCGCAGGTCTGTCACCAAAACAAAACAATGCACCTGCAACTCCATTCCTTTTCTACCCCTCCCTTTCCTCTCTGAGCTCCAGCGCTCAGAGAACTATTCCCAGGTGCTTTCACTCATCTAGCCTTTTCCAGAAGATCTGCGTTGGAGGAGATTCAGGACACCAGTCCTAAAGTGCCCTTATTCTCCACATTTGGAATTTTTGTTTGTAGTTGTTGTTGTTGTTGTTATTTTGTGGGAGTACTGGGTTTGGAACTCAGGACCTCATATTCCCTCAGCATTTCTGCTCAAGGCTAATGCTCTATCATTTGAGCCACAGGTCCACTTCCTGCTGTTTGCTGGTTAACTGGAATCTCACAGACTTTTCTGTCCCAGCTGGCTTTAAATAACAATCCTCATATCTCAGCCTCATGATTACCTCCGATTACAGGCTTGAGCCACCAGCCTTGGCTGCTTTTTTGTTGTTGTTGTTTTTATTTTTTGGATTTGGGTTTTTTTTTTTGATAGGGTCTCACTTTCACTGTGAGAAGTCATAGTGGCCTCTGCCTCTTCATCCTCCTCCCTCAGCCACCTGAACACTAGGACTACAGGTCTGAGCCACTATGTCTAGCTTTTATCCAGTATTTGTTGATAGAAGAACATGACCCAACATAAAGGTCATGATTAAAGTAAACTTGCAGCTGGGGGTAGAGCTCAGCGGCAGAGCACTTGTCTAAATATATGAGGCCCTGAGAAAAAGACTGGGGAGTGGCTTGAGTGACAGAGCATTTACCTGCCGCATATTAAGGCCTTAGGTGCAAGCCTAGGTATTATAAACCTAAATTAATACTTTTAAAAAAGTGAGGGGATGGGCTGGGAAGTTGGCTCAGTGGTAGAGTGCTTGCCTTGCATGCATGAGGCCCTGGGTTCGATTCCTCAGCACCACATAAGCAGAAAAGTGGTGGGAAAAAGCCGGAAGTGGTGCTGTGGCTCAAGTGGTAGAGCACTGGCCTTGAGCTGAAGAGCTGAGGGACAGTGTCCAGGCCCAGAGGTCAGGCCCCACAACCGACAAAAAAAAAAAAAGTGAGGGGCTGGGAAGGTGGCTCAGTGGTAAAGTGCTTGCCTTGCATGCAGGAGGCCCTGGGTTCGATTCTTCAGCACCACATAAACAGAAAAGTGGTGGGAAAAAGCCGGAAGTGGCGCTGTGGCTCAAGTGGTACAGCGCTAGCCTTGAGCTGAAGAGCTGAGGGACAGCGCCCAGGCCCAGAGTTCAGGCCCCACAACCAAAAAAAAAAGAGCATAAAAATAATAAAGCATCACGCCTGTAATCCTAGCTACTCAGGAGACTGAGATCTGAGGATCCAGGTTCAAAGCCAACCCCGGGCAGGAAAGTCCATGAAACTCTTATCTCCAATAAACCACCAGAAAACTAGAAGTGGCGTTATAGCTCAGATAGAGTGCTTGCTTTTAGCTGAATTGCTGAGGGACAGCGCCCAGGCCCAGAGTTCAAGCCCCACGACCGACCAAAAATAAAATAAAGCCAGCCAGGCACTGGTGGCTCATGCCTGTAATCCTAGCTCTTCAGGAGGCTGAGATCTGAGGATCACATTTCAAAGCCAGCCCAGGCAGGAAAGCCCATGAGACTGGAAGTGGTGCTGTGGCTCAAGTGGCAGAGCACTAGCCTTGAGCTGAAGAGCTGAGGGATAGCGTCCAGGCTCAGAGTTCAAGCCCCACGACCGACAAAAAAATAATAATAATATTAAAGCCAATGTTAATCGAAATGTACCCCAAGACAGGGACACAAGTGGTTTTTTTCTTTCTTGCTATTGTTTTTAATGTACTTATAACGTACTATGTGATTCTTGTGTTTCTTTTGTATGTTCTTCCCCCACAGTATAACGCCAGGTTTTACTGT